TTTTTGTTCCATAATGTTATTGCTCTGTATTTCAGGGTTCTCTGCCAGCATACTCCAATAGAATTGCATTGAGTGTAGTTGATAATGTTTTGCTGGTTCATCAAGTGGAAGCAAAGGTTGTCATTATATACGACATATATGAAGATTCAAAAGCACCCATCTCTGCTCCCCTTCCTTTATTTCTGAGAGGTCTTTCAAAGTCCAACGAAGCATCGACTCAAACTAACTGCAAAGATGATGGGGGTTCAGATTTGAAAGATCTAAGTGATGCTGAAATTACTATCTATGGAGATCGGTGGAACTTTCTTGTTCCTGATCTCGTATGTGATGTTTCAAATGGGTTTTTGTGGAAAATCAATGTGGATCTGGAGGCAAGTTTCTGATAGCCGAGAGCATCATGTGGATTGACTATTTGTAGTTTCTTTTAATAAATAATAATTCTAATTACTATCATCTTCTGCAGGCTGTTTCAGCCAGTAGCTCAGAAGTTTCACTGATCCTTGAATTTTTGCAAAGAAGGAAATTAGAAGCAGACAAGGTAAATACTGCTGTTGTAGAAACATTTGTGGTTGAATGTCATTCGTGTAGTACATAAAATATGTCTACGTCTTTTCAGTTTCATTAAGAGTGACGTTGAAACATTTTTCTGGTTATTATCAGGCAAAACAGCTATGCTTGACTGTTGTTCGTACTATTATTTTGGAACGGAAGCCCATTCCTGTTGTTTCCTCGGCAATAAATGCTCTACTCACAGCATATGCACATGCAATTAAAACAGGCAGTTATTACAAGAGGATTATAGCCGAGGAAGCTTCTCCATCCGTTGCTTCTAACCCAAGCAGGCCCAGTGAAGAACCTGGCAGCAGCAATGAGAATGAACCTATTAACAGATATAATTTTCCGAACTCGGATTCCAATGGTAGTTTAAGTTTGGACTCCCATAATCTTGATCCTTTTTCTATTGGTCAAATAGAAAGTCCTAATGACCAGTTGAACCCAAATGCTTCTGGGCGGCAACAAACTCAAGTGACTTGTTCGGCGGCTACTTCACCCGAGGACTTTTACACATCTGTTTTCGCTCTAGTTGAGGAGGAGATGGCAGGGGACGGGTCATACTTGACTGCTATCATTGTCGAATTTTTTCGGAGGTATTTTTTACTTGAGCTACCTCTTCTGAAAATATGAATCTTTTAAGCTTGTATAAGGTGTCTTGAGTTAGCTGCCTTTTATGTTTTCCACATTTTCAGCTCTTGTTAATTATTATACCTCTGTGTTTTGTCTCTTCCACAGTGCGAGCTTGGAAAAGTTGAAGGTGCATCCTAATACCTATGTCCTCATGGTACAGATACTTACGCGGGATGAGAGATATGCCGAACTCGGATTATTTGTAATGAACAAGGTCACACTTTGTCGTGAATTTATACACTAAACTGCAAAATACGCTCAATTAGTCAAATAAGTATTTGTTGTTAAATGTTTAGTTAAATAAAAGACTCATAAATAGATGCTATGTAAATTGCAGATTATTGAGCATTCAAAGGAAGTAGCGCTGCAACTACTGGAGTCTGGCCGCCAGAACATTGAGATAAGAAAGTTAGGTCTGGATATGCTGAGAGAGCTCTCGTTACATCATGACTATATTTTATTGCTTGTGCAAGATGGATATTATCTTGAAGCCCTTCGTTATGCTCGGAAGAATAAGGTAATAAATTATGTCTTCAGAATTTTACTTTTTAAGAAGAGTAATGCTTAAATGCAGAAAGTGTTGTCCGACCTTTTTATTCTGTCTGATGCTAAAGTCACAATGCTTCATTTTGAGTTGAAGATAATATGAAAACAAAAAGGTATTGTTGAAGAGTATTTTGCTTAACTGCATATGCAGGGGAACAATTTACTCAAACTCTATGTAGTATGCATAATCGTGTTTCTTCTCAGAAGAAAGTAAGCTGGAACTTAACTTCTATGACTTTAAAGAAGATTCTGTTGGATTTCAGGTGAACACAGTCCGGCCCTCATTGTTTCTTGAAGCGGCTTACTCGTCTAAGGACCCACAACGTATAGCTGCTGTTTTGAGATTCTTTTGTGATTTCATTCCGGGCTTCAAGAGCACTTCCGATCACCAGACTTACCATCGTCTTGTAGCTGAGATGAATTCATGAAGTGTCTTTTGCTGAGTTGATTGATTCTGAGAAAATGTTTCTGGAGCAATCAATGGAATATGAGAAAGATTTTATTTTCTTCTACCTGTTGGAGTTTCGGTGTACTTTTTATGTAAAAGAACTTTTTTCACTTCAAATGAAAACTTTCTTTTTTAATTGGGACCCAAGAATTTCTCTGCTCCAAATTTCTCTCTGTTCATTGTCTTTGGCTTTGGCCTTTGGAGAATAAATTCTACGTATTGTTTCTGCTATCTATACTTATTATATAAGGTATCATATTTACCAAATTTAGTAGGTTGAAAAGTCAACGTAATTAATGCATTACTATTTCTATCTAGAATTTTATTTAATTATTTTATTTATTTGTCTCATATCCCATAAAATTAGTTTAAGGAAAAAAAATCTCATAATATTTGATAACATCTGATAAGTAAAAAAAAGACGTAAAATATTTATTAAAATAAAAACGACTTTATTTATTTGTCTTATTCCATATTAACATCGATTTTGTCAAAATAAATCTCATAAAATCGGTGAAGTCAAAATTTGTACGTAAAGTCTATCTATACTAACAAAAAAAAAACATATTCAAAATTTCTTATCTAATTCCTTCTTTTTCTAATCTAATTCCTTATTATTATTTAATTGTATGGAAATATGTTCTGATTTTGTTTAATCCTCTAATTGTATTTGTATTATATCCCATAAAATCAGTTTAACAAAAAAAATCCCATAACATCCGATAAGTAAAAAAAAAGTATATATCACAAGTGTCGGCCTCGTACGAGAGGCCGACCCAGTGATCTTCTAATAAAATTGTAATTAAACTGTGCTTCCGCTTTATTTCCTATTCGACACTTTCATTACCTGTCATCTTAACCGTTGATCGGACCCGTCCATCAACAAAAATAAATTGTTTAAATTTTAATAGATATAAGATATGGATAAATAATTTATAAAATAAAGTGAAGAGTAATAATGAAAATTTTAAAACTTAAATAATCGAATCTACATATAAAGTCTTGGACTGAAATTTTTCAGACATTACCGTGGATCTTTTATATCACTATTGTGCACGAATTGAGTCTTTGATGTGTAGTATAGCAATCTTAAATCAAACCGATAGTATTTTTATCACAATATATTGTGCACGAATTATGATTTATTCCAAATTAAACTAAATTGAATTAGAACAATTGATCTATTTGATCAATTAATCGCATGTTCCTAAATAATAGAAACGATTTTTTATTTATAATATAAAAAAATTATTTAATATTTTTAATATTTATATTTAATATTTTATATTGTTGTTTGGTTGAAATACATAATATATAAACTATCAAACTAATAATGTGCATTCTCACATATAATAGTTTGTTCGTCTAAAATATTTCGCATTCTATTAATTGTGGTATTTTTTATGTGCATTTCCGTTTTATATCCTTTTGTGCAAATATGTCTAACACTAGCGTGCAGCGTTTCTGTCATTAGTGTGCATCTGTATTGACCGAATTTTACCCAACCAAATTAAAACCGAACTATACATTGTTTATTCGGACGGTTAACCAAATTACCATAATTATTATTAATAATTTATTTTTATATTTTAAAATATATTTAATATTTGAATAGTTTTATTTAAAATATTTACATTAGTTTTTATTGTAGATACATAATGTATGAAATACCAAAATTAACAATGTGCAATTTCATAGACAACATTGTGCATTTAGTATAGTTTTATTGTGCGATCGATTGAGCGGGTATTTTTCACGTGCATTTCATGTTTTAGAATATTTTAATAATGTCTATTTCTAATTAACATTATTTTATACTTATTAATTTATTTATATATTAAAATATAGTTAGTGTTTATGTATTTATATTTAATATTTTATATTTTTTTGAAATAAATAATATATATGTATGATATAAAAATATAAATATAAATATATTTCGGTCAATTATGTTAGGTTTTTCTTTTTAAATTAAAGTTGAAATCGGATAGAACAAACTAAAATCTTAATATATGTGAAAAATGCACGATAATGTTCATTATCCTATGCATTAATGTGCATTAGATACAAAATTGTTGTGCATTCAGACAATCACTATTGTGCAATTTCAAACGATTGCACATATCATTAATGTGCAATTATTAAAATTTTGATAAATTGTAATTTTTACCCATTAACTAAATTGTAATATAATAAAATTGATAAAATTCCAATTAAATCCCTAAAATTTGTCAAATTTCCAAAGCATATCCCTAGGTCAATCAAATCCAATTTCTTGTACATTTCAAGTTCTCGCCTGCCTCTTCCCAGTACGTCGGCGATCCACCTCCGGCCATCCGTAGTTTCCCGCGAGGTTCTCGTCCGTCCACACAGTGCCGCTAATAGACCGATGACTGGCAAATCGTGTTTCAGCCACAAACATAGTGATGACTACGACAACATCGCCTTCTCCATCCTTGCATGTGGCCGTCGATGCCAAAGAGTAGATCGATAATTTTCGACGCTCGCGACCTCCTCACCCGTCCAAGATGTGTCTAATGAACTCCGGCGATGTCTCGGCTTGAGATTCACGGCTAGAATCAAAGGGAATCAGGGCTAAAATTTCGGCAACATCGCTGCCTCCACGCCCAATCGCTGTTTCCGAAATTATGTGCAAGTGTTGGAGAACTGACGGGCGGATGTGAGGAGGACGACAACGGCGGCGGGCGACGCAACTCGTGACCGACGATTTTATTGATTTGGTCGCGACCGGAGGCGGCAGCCTTTAAGCTTGGATGCGAG